CAGCCACACTAGAAGGCAAAGCAGAGAGGAGAGGGGATATGGGGAGGGTTAGCATTTGAGGCATACCATAACCTACACAGCAGTGTCTGTGGCACTTTGACTTCGGCCCTATTGCTGGACACGCAGGTATCTGATAACCTCAAAACTCATCCTTGCCCCAATAGCTCAAATCCGTGCAAAGTATTGAAGAGATTTCCCACCTACAAATCAAAACAGGCCCGTCCTGATCTAGCATCCACATAACTCAACTGACTTCAAGAGGGCCAGGAGACCAGGATGAGGCCAAAAGGATAAGATCCACTCACAACTCACATGGGCTAGAGCCCTGCAGGGGCCAGCAACTCCCATGCAAAATAAAACCAGTGATATCTGCATGCAAGCACATGGATTGGGGAGGGGGAAAAAAACTTCCAGTCCTAGGCAGGTCTCTCTCACGTTGCCTTGCCTCTGTTACTGTGAGCTTGGAGAGGCTGATTTGGATGTTACTAAAGGTGGGATAAGGGAAGAATGAGTGGATGGGAGGAAAAGAATAATATTAAAGTAGAGCAGGGAAGCAGGCAGAGTTTGAAAGAAAGCAGCAAGTAGGGGCTTTAAAAAGGAGCAGGAGGAGCAGTTTAATGATAAAGATGTACACTGGCCTAGTGCCTGAGGTCAGTCAGGCTAGGGTCCCTTCCTGGGGGAGTTGTAGCAACAGAGCAGATGCCTGTCCTGCCTTGAGGAGCTTATACTAAAATAAAACAAGATGGTGTGTGCCTAGCAAGGCCAGGGAGACCAGGACAGTCTAGTAGGGTTAGAATAAAGATGTTTAAAACACATACAAAGGAGAAAACTTGCAGCAAGTCCCAAATTTATGATCATGGTACCTTATCCCAGGGAGTGGAGGAAGGACTTCAGGACAGCCGGTCAACGATGCAGCCCCAAATGAAGCACTCCCACAAAAGCTTGCTCCATAATTTAACAACGTCCTTTCAACATAGCTTTGAACCCAGCAGCTAATTGGTTCAAGCAGGATGAAAATCTGCTTGCTGGGCGTGTCTCTGAATAACCATAGGAGAGAGTTTCAGGCCTCACTAGTGAAGGAAGCGCTCGCAAGGGAAGGAAGATCAGTCTCATTCGAGATTGCTTTGTTCCATGGGCTGCGTTGGGAAATGCACCGCAGGAAAAGGTGCATGCGGTGAGCCCCCGATTTAAAAAGCAGAACTCTTAGCCCGTGTTGGAGCGCTCTCTTGGAACAGAGCTTTAGACACAAAGCAACAGGCGTTACCTTCACTACGCTATACCCCTCAGCTCTCAACGCACACCTTTTCACCTCCAGCCTTGCACCAGGCCACACAGAAGATCATGTTCTGGGAGCCAAGCAGTCGACCCGAGGGAAATGACTGCCACATAAATCATTCGGTAGCCCAGACAGCGTGACATGGCACTTTCAGTTCCACAGCACCAACGTGGTGCTCTGATTTTTGCAAGAAGGAAATGCCACTTGACTCCTTCTCTTGACGGTGGGCACTGCTGCTAGTGTCCGTGCAAGGACTAGATGGAGCTAGTCATCAGGGATGTTTCAGCCCTGGGGGAATCCTACCCTGGCAAGAGCCTGCAAATCTCCTGACTCTGCCTGTAGCATGCACCGCAGCTGCCTGGGGACACTTAGCAGTAGCTGGGCTCAGCTTCCTACCACGAGCGAGCTCCGCTCACTGTAAAACATCCTCCTCCTACACGCCTGGACAGATTGCACTCTTGTGGCGATACAGCCTCATGACATCACTCCACAAATATAACCCCCCCAAGATATTTAAGGCTGCTTCTTAAATGCCAGGAAATCTCCATACAACAGGGCATGGGCTGGGAGGGTCAAGGTCTGGTTGGTCCCATAAATATCAGCAGCTACAGCAGCTGTGATGCTGAACCTGAAGATAGCTCTCTGACGAGGGCAGAGAGAGAAACCAGCTTCCCCCAAACCCTTTTCAGGATCTCCAGGTCTTTCGCTGTTTCGCCCCAGAATCATTTGCATTGACAACTACAAGCTGGAGCCCCCAAGATAGCAGCAACTGGTACCAAGGTGAAGGCAGAGACAACCTGCACAGCAGGACCCGACAGAGCTTGGAAGTTGACTTTTTTGCTGTCAGCATCAGAAAGCCACCATCAGCACCGGGCCATTGGATGGGAGTTTTAACAGAACCAAGGAGACGCTGCTCCCCTCTCAGCTCCATGGCCGATGTCACAGCAGCGCCAAGAAAGAGTGGGGGACCCTCTTCTGCACCGGGAACCGTATGTACGCCACGCGCAGGACTAAGTCTCCTCCTGATGGAGCTGACCCAGGCTGGAAGGGGGAAACAGAGGCAGAGAGAGGGGAAGTGACTTGCCCACTGTCCCACCGCCAGTCAGTGGCAGAACCAGGAAGTGTAAGAGTGTGTGTGTGTGTGTGTGTGTGTGTGTGTACACATGCATGCATACCCACATGCTTATGCAAGGAAATGGCCAAGGGAGAAGAGAGAGGGGCCAACATTTAACCTTCACGACCTCTCCTCACAAAGAGCATGCAATGCCTCAGGGAGGTCACATATCCAAGAAATACAAACCTCAGCCACGAATCTCCCCGGTTAACTCCCAACAGAGCTCCAGGACTTTCAAAACTGCTGAAGACGGGACAAGATTAGCATCTAAACCAGCTGCTGGCCTAATAGCGAGAGTTTTGTTTTAGGCTACTGCTTGTGCACAATGTCTAGAGCTTGAAATAGAAGAGGGGAAAAAATAGACTGTGGTGCAGCCAACTCACTGAAGCAGGAAGCTCTGACTCTGCAAGTGCAGCTGGCCGGGTCAGAGTGTCCCCCGGGGCACAGAGACCTTGCAGCAGATGCTGGAGATCTGGGGTTTTGCACACCTCCAGGGACCCAACTCACAGCGCTGAGGATGCTGCTTCCTTTTTTACACTTCGTCGAGTCCTTAATCTCTCCCTGGGTGAGGGCTCCCTTTAGCTCAGTCAGAGACCAGCTGGCCTTCTATTCCAAGGGTGTCCATAGGGAGAGGGGAGCACAAGCATCAGTGGAAGAAAGGCACGAGGGCTGTCGTGGGAGACAAAGAGACACCCTACTCCTTTATGAAAAAGTTTCAGGCTAAAGGCTAGGCTTTGGCTGCAGTCAGGGTCACGTTGCATCATCTGACGCTGCCATGATACATGAAAACAGCTGGGGAAGGGACAGAGCCCGGACGTGTGGGCTGGCCAGGCTCAATCAGTATTGCTGCCTCCCAAACTACAGCTGCAAAGGCAGAAGCATTTTGCACCATTCTGTACGTGCTCACACCGTGCACTTAGGAGTAACTCAGCTTCGTTTGTACCAAAGGCCCTGCAGCCACATGATACGGCTTAGCCCTTTTCACCCAAGCACGGCACAGACCATTCGAAATGGGAAAATGGAGACACGACTTGCTCCACTGCATAGACTGAGCCTCAGCACCGGAGCCAGAGCCGGGAAGTCCTGGCTCCTGGTCCCGTACTCAGGCTAAGCCCAAACTAAACCACAGCACTTGGGAATGCTAGTGTGCTCCTGCCAAGGGAAAGGCAGACAAGGCCGCTCTCATCCTCCCCTGCTGCTGCTCAGGGATCTCATCTGTGGTTCATTAATGTGCAGCCCTGCCACATCATTGCAGCAGAGATCATCGCAGAAGCTTGAACAAACTTTTGGGACCATTCACCAACAGCACCCTGGAGAAGCAGATGAGGCAACAGTGTACATTGCACAACACACAGGTATTTAGGGCATTTGATTTAATAAAGGGAGCTTTTCCCCTCCCCTCTCTTCGGCGGTCGCAGCGCAAATCAGCTACACCGTAGGATGCTGTGGGCCAGCTCCCTGCCACTCCCGGCGCAACCAGGGGGAACCCATGTTTAGGGAATGAGACCAGAGAAGCCACGGCTGCCCTCGGCAGGCTGAAGGCTGAACAGCAGAAGGGGACAGCTCCCAAAGGAACCGGGTCTGCGGAGGCAGCGGTTGCAGTGCGGGGGAGAACGGGAGCAAGCGCAACGTGAGTCACGCTGGCGTGGGGCCTGAGGAAGGTGCCCTCGAGGAGAAGGTGCTTGAAGTAAACACTCACAGAGACAGAAAACAAAGTGTTTCTCACGCACTTTCTCCTCTGGCTCAGAATTAAAGCTTCGTTATCACATGCATTAAACCTGCAGCTCCCAAACCTTGGCTGCCCTGATGCTAGCACTTGAGAAGCAGCCTCTTTGGCTCTGCTGCTCTTTTCCCCCTCACCGCAACCCACCTGAATTCCACGGGGCTGCGACATGTCATGTGCTGGCACTCACCTGAAGCATGAGCCCTGCACCTGATGTGCACAGAGCAGACATCCTTAATACAGATGTGTACCCCGCAGACCAAGTCTCAGAATGCAACGCTCCATCCGACCCTCAGCAAAAAGTGACTGTATTTTAAGGCCCTGCCTGTGGCCAGCAGGCTGCACGCCCTCTCACTAGGGGCACCAGACAAAGCGAGGACATGCAACAACCACCTGCGTGTCTGCCACGTGCAACTGAGTGCACGTTCAGGAAGAGCCCCCATGGCACCCTCGCCAGGCCTGCACAAAAGTTTACGCTGGATCCAAACAGAGACATTGGAGAAAGGAGTTCACTGGCTTAATTGGTCCTGCAAAAGTAAGCTGCGAGCAGCACAAAGATGGAGATGGTCACCTGTTGTACCTGCTGCACAGCATGTACGTGAAGGCATCTCTCCAACCAATAGACCCAGCATGACTCTTCCTTGGCTCATCCCCTGGGAAGCCCGCAGGACCACTGCCCGTAGACCACAGCAGTGAACTCAGCTGCAGTAGCACAGGGGAATGCACAAGCAGCAGGTCAGGATGCAAGCTGGGGATGAAAACCTGTTAACCCTAAGCCAAAATTAGTGTAACTGGGGCATCAGAAAAGAGCGGGCAACACCCAATCAATTATCAAAGCCATTTTACGAAGCCCTTCCCCACCTTGAGACACACAGACGCCAACTAGTAGAGGCTTCTATCATGTATATGATATGTATTTAGAGGGGACACGGCTCCATCAGAGACAGGCCCCGACTATAAGGCACTACTGGGCAGAGATAGACCTTGGATCGTCCACAGCCTACACAAAGAGTCCCTTCCCTCTCCTGCCAAAGGAGAGGCTGCTTGCACTGCTGTTCAGCCTCTGGCTCAGCTGGTTTCCACCCCGGCAACATCAGGCAGGAGCAAGAGGGTTAACTGCTGCCAATGCCCTGAGCTGTCCGGCTCCCAGCTCCGCGCTGGCTCTTGTGGATCTTCATGTGCTTGGCCAAGTGGTCGCTGCGGGTAAACTTCTTCTCGCAGGCCATGCACTGGTAGGGCTTGACCCCGGAGTGGGAGCGCTTGTGGCGGGATAGCTCGTCCGACCGGGAGAACCTGCCAGGAGAAGGGAAGCACAGTGGGTTCTTCTGGTCGCTCGCCTGGCACTAGCTAATCAACCGGAAGAGGGTAGCTCTTAACCGAGGCCACCTCAGCCCAGCCAGAAAACAGAGATCAGCAAGGAATCTGAAGTCGGTGGTCTTGGGCAAGACGCTACACTGGGACTGAAAAGTTCAAGGTTTATTGCCTGCCTCTGCCACAAACTCCTCATGTGGCCCTGGGCGAGTCACTTTGCCTCCCAGCTATAACATGGAGGTAGCGCTTCCTTGCGAGAACAAGATCCGTTGGCACCTGGGAGATGCTTGGATCCTACAGGGAGGAGACTCAGCTCAGCAGACAGACAAGCAGCAGCAAGCACCCGAAGAGAGTGGCTGAAAGCATCGACTAGGTCAGAGCCATAACACATAGCACCGGCACAGCACCTCCAACCCATCCCACAGGCATTAGGGAAGGCTCAGTCCTCATAGGAGGGGAAACCACAGAAGAAAGTGCATCTCATGCAAAGCTGGATTGGAGCCCGTCTCCTGACGCCCACCTCCTCTCCAGTCACCAGACACACCCAGGCACTTTCCCCTTGCAGTATCCATGGGACATATCAAGCCAAGTTACCCCTGGTGCAACTCCAGCAGCTGAAAGGCAGAGTGGCCTCAGGGATGATGAATCTGGCATCAGGCACCCATTTTGTGGCCAGAACCGAGCAGCAGCAGCAGCAGCAGCAAGCAGTCCATCTACTTCAGGCTGGCCTGACTCAGGCCTTTGCTGTCTGTCCGGGCTGCAGTGGTTAGAAATAACCTCTGACTCAGCCCAGCATGACACTACCCGGGGTTTCCAGGAGGGACAATCCATGGCAGCTAGGATGCTCCCCTCCTTCACAAAGTTCCCAGCCAGGAGCCGTAGAAAATGGATAGAGGCAAGAGAGGAAGACTGCTGCACCTGTCTGCCAGGCCAGGAACGAGCTATGTGGGGATGCCCGGGAGGGCTGAGGAACCAAGTTATCCCACTTTGATACCCCTTGCTTTGTTTCCCTCTGGATAAAGAGCATGGCACGGCAGTGTGACACTCCTAATCTTATCCCTTCTAGAAACTCCTGGGGAGCAGGAACGGGGTAAACAGTGTCGCATCTCTGGAGTGCGACCCTGGCTCCAGCACAGACGGGCAGCGACTGAAGGACACTCGCTACCATCTGGATCTGCTTGGGTGCCTGGGCGGAGCAGCTTTCAGGCCAGCTCCCAGCAGAAGGGCACCCAAATCACAAGCCTGGCGCCAGTGTGGCACTATTCAGCCCCTCACCGGAGGCCAGCCCAGAGGGCCATGGTGACTGACTTCCCCTCCCACGTAGAGGCAGCCGGTCGCTGCAGAGCAGGGAAGAGGCTTACTACCCAGCATCCCTTCAGCCCAGGCACAGAGCCTGCTTCCCCACACAGCCTGGCACTGGGGCTCAGCTCTGACCTAGCAGCTGGACTCAGAGCAGGGCATTCCCCACCCAAACCCCGGTCTCGCGGCCATGCCCAGGAGCTCCTCTCTCGTGAAAAAGCGATGGTCATTTGGAAGTAAGCCACAGCTTCTCCTCCCTGTCAGCATGCTCTGGATTTGAAACTGGGGAGAGGCCAGCAAGCCCATGAGCGAGCTTGGACACCTCCGCTCGCTGCTCTGGGCTGCAGCTTCTCTGCAGAAGCATGTTAGCAAAGCGACGAGGGCCATCTGAATATTTGGCTACACCGATCTGCATCTCTAGCTATTTCCCATATATGGTGTGAATCAGCGGAGCCTCTCAGAAAGTCCCTTTGCCTCTTATCCAATTCCTCTTGCACCCACTTTGCTCTGCACTCGCACCAGGCACTGGTGAGCGTGTGCGTGCTCGGGTCTGACTGCCGCTGCCTTTCAAAGCCTCAGCACTGCTGCAATCATCGGCAAGATCCTTCGTATTTGTAAACATCAACGGAGAAGGAGCTCAAGGCGGGAATTCCCCCGCTTCTGCGTCCAAGCGGCTGACCCAGAAGGCAGAAACATTAGAGCAAAGGGTTTTTCCATCTGGCTGAAACGCGCCAATAAAATGTGGAGCGAAAAATTTCAGTTACAGCCCTGCTCCCTGTGCAGAATATAAAGCCCGCACCTGGGACAGTAAATGTGGTGTTTGCAAGGCTGCTCTGAGTTTCTTCAGTGCACTCTATCGGGATCCCAGGGCCACCTCCAGACATTCAGCGAGAAACACCGCCTTGCTTCCTAGCAGTCATGAGCAGCTAGTCCCAAGGTCTCAGCTCAACACGATGAGCAGGAACTTGAGATTAGCAGCTGAGGCCACTCTGCAGGAGGGAGAACAGCCTTGAGAGCAACAGCTGTGTTTGAACATGGTTGTAGCTAGCTAGAGCCGACAGCAAAGTAGGCAGAAAAACACAAGGCAATACAGTAAGGGGAAAGCAATGCAACTGCTGGGTGTATATACCGCAGGAGGGATCAGGGATGCTCCTATATCATTGAGACTGTCCTTCGTCGTGAAGGACTTTCCAGTCTGCCACCTAAGAACTAGGTCTTCCTACGGTTAGCTCCACCTCATATTGCAGTGTTGAGGCTGTAGCTAGAATATCCCCTGCAGCTCTGGGCACATCAGAAAGAGATCAACACCTTGGAGGGAGAGCAGCAGATGCAATTAAGGGGTTGGGCTGCTTCAGGGAGCAAAGATTAAAATAACTAAACATACAACACAACCACAAAGAGCGTGAGTACATAGAGATATGCCCTCAAGTAACTGTTATCAGAAGGAAGCCAGCATCAAGGGGTGGGGGTTAATAAAGGGTGGTACAACGAAGCAAAACTCAGAGAGAAGTGGTGATGTAGAGAAAAGGAAAAATGCAGGTAAAAATTAGGATTTATTATCTTAAAGAGGGAGAGCTACAGAGCCACAGACTTCATGGCAACACCACTGATAGAAAACACAGACGAAGCAAAGCAAGCCTGGGAAATAACCCTGAACTGTCCAAGGAACAGGGGGGTTCATTTTTTTTAATGCATCTAAGTGACTTAGGAGTCAGAGCAAGAAGTTAAGGCATCCAAGATGCTCCTAACACAGAAAGAAGGTTTCCAAGCCATGCAAATGACTTCAGAAAACCTTCCCAAGCATCTTAACGGGCTTTTCAGTTCCATCCTCCCCCTCTCTAAATCCTATCATTCGTTTTAAAAAGGAAGTCCCAGGAAAGGCACAAGCTACATCTAGTTAAAACTTTCCTGCACCACTAACAGCCGTAATCTCAGTTACGCCCCATTCAAGAGATGAAATGCCCCCGCAGAGTCAAAACAGCTGAGGGAATGAGAGACCAACTCACAGTTGGCCGGCTGGGGTTTGCTATATATTTAGTCCGGGACCCAATGTCAAAAAGGCCCTGCTAGAGCTAATGGACACCGGCGTTACTGAATCAACGCTCCCAAGAGCTGTCTGAACTCGTCACACATGCTTCGTACCTCCACCAAGCAGGCAATCCCAGCTATCTAAAGTTACAAGGCAGCAGCTGGCCAACAGCCTTGTAAAGAGAGCAGGAAGGTAGCAGGACGGGCAGCAGAGCTGTGTTATTTTTCATAACCTGCCCAACCTTTCACGCTCAACCAAGGCTACGAGCCCCAGGATGGGAAACATTTCCTGAAGGTCGGGCTGGGTTTCGAGGAGGCCTGAGCAAAATGGGTGACGAGGCTTTGGGGAATCTGGGCTCAGTTGTGGGTACCAAGCACCTGAGGAAAACAGGGCTATAATGCACCACAGCTAGCGCTTCTGAAAGCAAGAACGGGCCAGGACCTGCAACTGGGAATTACATGGCTTAGCAAGCCCTGCCTTGCTCCTTGCTCATGCTTTTACCTCCAGTCACAGTTGGGCCACAGGCAGATGTAAGGCTTCTCTCCAGTGTGGCGCCGGAAATGTGCTTTGAGGTGGGAGCTCTTGGTGTATGTCTTGCTGCAGCCGGGGTGGGAGCACTGGTGGACACGGAGAATGGGAGAGGCAGCCTTCTGGCACTTGGGGGTGGCCTCAGCCGCTCGCACAGCCCCCAGCTCCCCGGGCCTCAGAGCCACAGGCAGGGGGGCAATTTTGATGTACTTCTGATTCGAGACAGTCCCAGGGGGCTCGGCAGCCTGAGGGAGAAGGGTCAGGCTTTGGCCCTGCACGCTGATGACCAAGTGTGCCACCTTGATGCTCCCCAAAGCCTCCTGGGGAGGGGGGCTCGCACGGTTCCCCTGGATGGGCTGGATCTGGAGGATAACAGGGATGCTCCCGAGAGCTGTCACCAGATCCGTGGCCCCGGGCACCAACACAGCCTGGGTTGGGCTTGATGTATCCCCCTCCGTGACCATCCTGGGCACGAGCTGCACCCCAGAGTTTCCCAGGTTGATCTCCGACTTGAACTCGAGCTTGCCTCCCACCGGCTGCTTCTCACCCAGTTCCTCCTTGAGGAGCTCCATCTTCTCCTTCAAGAACTCCTCAATCTCCTCCAGGGTGGGGATGAAGTCCCGGGAGAGGCTGGAACAGAAGTCAGGCAGCTTCAAGTGTGCCTCATAGATGGTGGCTTGGGGTTTCTCACCCTCCTTCTTAAACTTGGACGGAGGGAGAGGAGCATCTTGCACGGGGCCAATGCCATCTGGAAACAGAACAGCGGAGCCCTCTGGTACACTGGGCACCCCCTCATTGCAGCTCTCCAGCAGCATCGAGGGCGGCATCTTGGTCTGAAGAGCTGCAGTAATGCTGTCTCGCTGAGGGGTGCTCAGCGAGTCAGTCGGGGAGTCGGAAGCGGGTAGTGGCTCGCTGCGACTCACAGAGACCATTTGTTGGCCAGCGTCCCCTCCTCACGTGAAGCCGAGGAACTGGCTGGGTACGTAACAAGTCAGGCGGGTGGCAGCACAGCTGGCAGCCCCGAGGCTGGGAAATCCTTAGCCCATCTGCAAGGAAGTGATGACAAGATTATTTACCATGGCAAAAAACCCAGGAGCAGCCAGATGTACCGCTGAAAACAAAGCCTCAAAAGCAGTCACCAGAAAAACTGCTCTGTTCCTCAAAAAAACCCCAAAAAACAACAAACTCCACCCCACCAGATACTTTGCATCTAAGACAGAGTCCTGTGGTCTGCAAAGACCTGGGCTGCCGCAGGGTACAGGCTTTGCACCTCGCATCCAGGCTTTGCACTCTTTCATTCACCCGTCTAATGGACTGTTACACCTGCCGGAGCAATGGTACGCAGGGCTGAATGGGAGGGGAGATGGTCGGCAGAGTCATGAGGAGGAGGGGAAGGAGCCCTTCAGGAGGTACGGCACAGAGAGGAAGCCCAGGCTAGAGCCTTTTATGAGCCCGTATCTTCCGACTAAACGTGGGATTGCAGCAGAGCCGTCCAAACCAGCCATGCCAGTCTCTCCACCCACCATCTCCCCAGGCCCCTTCCTGCCGGGAAAGGGAAATTCTGAGGAGCGTTCCAGGTGCAAACAGACCCCGACTTTATTTTTAGGGGAAAAAAATAAAAGCAGCTGACATTTTACAGTCTGCCGAGGGCAAAAGACCAGCCAAAGACCCTCTAGTTGCTCGAGGTCTTTTGCAATATTGTCTCTAGCCCGTGCACAGCAGGCCTTTGTAAATCAGTGGTGGCACAGACACAATCGGCAGAGGCCAATGCCAATTTGGCGTGAAGCAGGAGATGAGTATGGGTCATGTCAGACAGACCCCCTCAGAGCCCTACCCGGGGCTCATCCTCTTGCAGGGTCTGCTTAACCCCAGCCTGCCTATAGCCCTGCTCCCATTTCACTCTCCACAACCACCGCCCCTTCGTTACTATGCTTCTCCCACAATCTCCTCCTCTTGTGTTGCCGTCTGCGCTTACAATAGTTTCTCACCCTTCAAGTGCCCTGCACCTTCTGGCCCCTCCTCTGCAAAGAGACTCCCAAGGCTGTTGTCCATCCCTGCAAGGTGCAGCGAGACAACTGCTCCCCTGCCTTCGCTGAGTTAATTCATGAGCTCTTCAGGACAGAGACATGGTTTGTCAGGTGCCTTGCAAAGAACGGACCATTGACCTTGGGCCCTCTGAGAAGATGAAGGCCAACTTAGAAGCTAGTCATGCAACTAGATGGGTGCGCTCATGGTTAGGGCATCAGCCTGGATCTCAAGACACCTGGATTTAATTCCCTGCTCTATAGACCTCAATTCCCCGTGTCTGAAAGGGGGATGATATGACCACCCTACGTCTCAGGAGGACTTTGAGAATAAGTATAAACACCATGAGGCACTCAGGTATTAAGGAATTACCGTAGACAGACTCTGGAGACAACGGAGACCGACACCAGCTCCCTACCAGCTTGCAGCACACTTGATAAAACTCACGGTGCCATTCCACAGGGAGGAAGAGCTCAAGAAGGGGAACCATCCTCTGCCACGATGGCAGTGGCACAGGACAGCTGTTTTTTGGCACTTATACTTGGGCTTCCCATTCAAGGATCTTACTTCTCTGAGCCCTCTGGAGCCTGTGAAGTGAGCAGATGGGCAGACCAGGGCACAAACCCCTAACATGCAGCCCAGTGCCTGGGAGCAGAGCTAGGGCTACAGCCTCCCGCTCTGGGTAAGAGAGTGACAGTGACAAGCTACGAGGAAATCTGTGGGATTTGAGGTCCCACCTGTGAGGTCGCCATCATGCCAAAGACAACAGGGCCTTTTGGAGGCACCTCAGCAAAAAACACTACTTCGAAAGAAAGAATAATGCTGCTTAGACAAATGCACCGAGCACATCAATCACCAGCTACTATAGTAACAGGCGATAAGGCTGTGCCCAGAGACATGAAAGTCAAGGACTCGTGAGCAGACCCAGAAGCCAGCATGCAAATACTGCACTAAAAACAACAGGCAAGTTGCTGTTTCAGGCCAAGCCCCAGGTGTCTGGGAGCCGCAAAGCGACCTCAGAGCACTCGAGACACACGAGAACAACGGTGGTGCTGGGAGCAGAGCTCTGCGTGCTGTTCTGGCTGGAGTGCGCACACATCCTGTCATGCAAGTCAATACGCTCTGCCCAGCGTCCCCATTTGGAGCACTTCTTATCAACCTCTGACCCTCGCTCCCGTCCCTGTTCTTGTTTTAAGTTGTCTGAACAGCCCCTCTAACACCGTTCCTGGGTGGGCACACGCTCGTGATCTTTCTGTGCATCAAACAGGCCTGTCCTGCAAGACACTTCATTTCTCTGCAGCTCTCCGGCCTCCCACAAATCTCATCTCTTGGTGCCTTGACTCATTGCGGGGGGTACCAGGGGGCTGCTAATGCTCACCCACCTTGCAGGGGTGCAGCAAAGCTCAGGGGTGGTTTCTCCTGTGCTTGGATATTCAAAGAGAATGACAGACTCCTACAGAAGCGGGGCTGGAAGGGTGCATCTAGTCCACAGGTTGCATCTCGTGCGAGGCAGGATCAGCCTTGTCCAAACCATCCCAGGCAACCCATCATCTAAACTCTACGCAAGACGACCGTCACCCCGACCCAGCACAGACCTCACCTGAACTGCCACAAGGGGACCTCACCTTACTGGACTGCCACAAGGAGACCGGCTGCAGCCAACATGCTGCTTCTATGAAATGCTGTCACTATGCACTCGAGAGATCCTGGGTAGAGACCACGGCTCCTGCTACAGAGGAAAAACCTCTCCCCACAGTTCATGCCGTTCTGACCAGGAGGTAAAATTCCTATCCTGACCTCAAATGTGGCATTGGTCAGAGCCTGCGCAGAGGGGCAAGACCCCCTAGCCAGGCACCTCCGACTGCTCCCAGCAGGAGCATCGGCACAGCCCAGTCCCCATCCCCAGCCTGGGCTGCTGCCAACATGAGGGAGGCTTCAACCCCCCCTTGACACATGGAGCTGAAAGAGGGGTGGGGAACCAACAAAGCCCAGCAACCTGGGAAATCCCCATAGAAGAACAGAGGCATCTAAGCCAGGATCATCTAAGCCAGGCAGGGGCTTGAGGAAAATAGCTGCTGCAGCACCCAGCCAGCCTTGCTGCAGCCTCCCTGGACCCACCGCAGGCGAGCGGGGCTGGAAAGCTGAGTGCTGGCGAGCGCATCATACCCGAGCGCTACAGCCGGGTCTGGAGTGCACCAGACTCGCGCGCTACAGCCGGGTCCGGAGCACACCACACTGGCGCGCTACAGCCGCGCCGCCACCACCCGGCGCCCCATCGGGGCTGGTTCCCCTTTGCACGTGTCCGGCCCTGCCCCCGCCAGCCCGGCCGAGCCCCCGCCGCTCCTGCCTGCCCTTACCCGCGCTCGCTGCTGCCGCCGCCGCGGTCCCTTCCCTGCTGGCAGCCGCCGCTGCCGCTCACATGACGCGCGGAGGCGGCTCCGGCACCGCCTGCAGGCCTCCCCGCTGCCCCAGCCCCCCGGAGAGGCAGGGGTGGGGGGTTCTCGGAGCAGGCAGGGAAGGGACAGAGGGGCTACCTCTGCTTGAGGAGCTTGCAAAAGCCCCCTGGGGCTCCAACCCAAAAGGAGGGAGCAGGCACCTCCTGGGGGTCTGCCCCTGGAAAGGTGTCCCCCCTCCGCCCCCAGACACGCACAACATTTCAGAGGAGCAGGGGGTAGCTGCTCTGGTCCCCCCCCTGCTCTCCCTGTGCCAGGTTGGGTGTGAGGTCTCTGCTGTGTCAGGGCTGAGGGTCTCTTCTGGGGAGTTGAGAGGATGGGGTGGTTCGGAGAGGGGTGAGCCTGCCTCAGGCAGGGGTTGGATTAGATGGGCATTTCTCAACCGGTGGGTCGCAAGGATATAGGAAAGGGTTGCCAACAAACTTTAAACATGGGTTCTTTCGAGGAGAAAACCGTGGGAAGCCGTGGCTTTTCCCTTGCAGGCTGGCAGAGTTCCAGCCTGCAAGGGGCTGCTTGAGCCCCCCCTGCTCTGCACACCCACCCCTTGCCCCACGCACTGGGTCGGGAGGGAGGGCACTGGGTCAGGACTGGCCATGGACGTTTACAAATGGGTCCTGGTACAAAAAAAGGTCGAGAGGCACTGTCCTAGATGACCTCTGAAAGTCCTTTCCAGCCCCGCGTCTCTATGATTAAAGCCAGGCTGCTGCCACCTCTTGTCTTGGGCTGCAGCCGGGCAGAGCTCCCCGCAGGGAGAGCACAGCCCATCAGCAAGGCTTCCCCTGGGCCAGAATTTAGCAGCACGAGGATGATACCTAGTAGCGGCCGCCTGCCCTGAGAAAAGCTGGGGCTGGCTGAGCATGGGACCCCCAAGGGCTAGTGCCTGGCGCCTGGGTAAGGGGCATGGATCAGGCACGGGGCTCAGTGACAGGGTGGGATGGGGCATGGCGCGCTTCTCCAGGCACCAGCCTTAGCATTCAGGGCTCAGTAGGGGAGGCATCAGCTAACACCAGTAGCCTCTTTTTGTGGAAACCCTCGCCATCAAGGGAGGCCTTTCCATCCCCATCCGACTGGGACTCTTCATACGTGTCCTAGGGCCGGGCTCGCCAGAGGGGTTCGTTCTTCTGGCCTTTGCCCCAAGTGGGGTTTAAATCAGCAAAACAAGGGGGTGAAGCCTAGAATTTATGTTGGAGACTTGGCTGGAGACCTCAAAGGCCCAACTCACAGTTCGTGGACGCTGGTCGTGACTCGGGTCGCTGGCTGAGGTACTCGCATGCATTTTGCACTAGGCTTTCCGGTCCTTCATCTGCCTTGGTGCTCATGAGATGTTTTGCTGCACGGGAGAGCTGGGCTTAATGTTTCGGCACCTGTGGTCAACTCCCAGCCTGTGGCAGCCTGTACATACATAGAGCTTGGCTGTCAGTTAACCACATATGTGCAGTGCTGGGAATCTTATTCACAGGTGTTATTACCAACCAACAAAGGCCGTCGGTTAGTGAGCGGTGCTGGTACAGTTCATACAGGTGCAGTCTCACCAGCCCCGGGTAGGTCTGCTATCCCAATGCCAGCAGGCAGTGCAGCACATGCAGGCAAGCTAACGCATGACAGCAGATGCTGTAGTAACAGAGGAGACTTTCCAAGTTCATTTGGATATTGCCTTATTCATCGCTCCCTGTCCTAAACTGCTGTGCAGGAATCACATACTGTTGAATAGCAGTCGCGTTAGAATAGCGAGCAGAAGGACCTGTCTGTATAAGGACAGCCTCTAAAGTGCAACAGAAGCCTTAGGATGAAAGATGCTCTAGAAATATATGAGAGATTAATAGTATTTTGCATTTCTATGGAAGATCTCCCAGCACTTGATACATATACGCTAAGGAAGACAGCTTTCTGTTAATTAACGAGCTTCCAAATTCCCTGGACAACTCTGAAAACCCCACCTACACTCTGGTTGGGGGAAAATTCAGATCTGGCTCCCAACTTCTCAGTGCGAGCTCATCTCTAAAATACGTATAATTAAATCTGTGTATGTGTATGTGTATACTAAGCCTTTCACATGAAGGTCTCAGTGGACACTTAAAATATTGCCTGTTTACAAGAGTAGGCTTTATTATCCCATTTTTATAAATGGGGGAATTAAGGCACAGGGAAATTAAATGACTTGTTAATCATCCTGCAGGTCAGTGGCAGAAGTGGGGGCAGAGCCCTGGAGTCCTGATTCCAACTCCCCTTCTCTTACAACGGAGGACAAAGCTGGTGGCTTCTGTTTCAAAAAGGGTACTGGTTTCCTCCAGCCCTTTTCATGGGCATCTTTCCCTGTCACTTGTTTTCATCCAGCTGAAGAGACTACTTTCTTTTTCTAAGAGAGAAGTATGCAACATGGGATTTTTTTTTAAAAAGGCTGCCTGAGATCGAACGGTTCCGAAATCCCCTGCAAATGCCCGTCCAAATACAAAAGCATCGGCCACGTCCCACGCCTGCGATGATGTCGCAACGGACTCCAGAGCAGTCTTGGACTGGTGTTTTCCATCCTGCCCATAAGCTCCAGGAGACACAAGTTACTTAACCCACCTTCACGAAACAACCACCCACTCTTCCCCCCATGACATGACTGGGCACGATAAAGGTTCTGCTTTTCTCTGGGAAGCTGATGCTCCTGTGTTGACTTGTTTCCTTTATCAGATCGCCTGGCTTAGTCCGGAGGAAACCTCTGCTTTCGCTGCTCCTCTGTGGTTTGCCACAGCTCCTGGGAGCTTCCCCCACGTCTCCGAAGCTGAAGTTCATGTTCCAGCAGGCAGGAACACAGCGGGCTGCTGATAACTTGGGGTTGAAGGAGTCTCATTTCATGTTTTGCAGGACAGCACCTGGCAAGAGACAGGCTGCGGGGCTGTCAGAAGAAGCACAAGCCGCTCAAGACCAGCTTTCTCGCCATACTTGGGGTTTGAGGCGCTGTATCCATGTGTCACTGGGACCCATTCCTGGCCCAGGGATGACTTGCTGCAGACCACAGTGCCCTCCCTTCCCTCCTCCGAGGGCTCAGCCTAGACTTACTCCTGGCAATGGAGAAGGACGTGTCTCTAACTCAGTCTCTCTTTGGTCCCACTGATCCTATTGCTCCTCCTCTCCTGGGTTTGGACTGCCTCCCCCTTTCCACCCAGCAAGGGATGCTGCACTTAGAGCACAGGTTGGAGAGCTGGCTTGCATGCTAGTCTATGCCAGTGGCTTGCCTTAGACTGGGGCTTCCCAACAGCCTGGAGATAGATGTACACGGGGTTGAAATAATGCTGTGCACATCTCCCAGTTGCTTGCTCCCTGGATCAGGTATTAGGGCTGTTGAGCAACAGTGTATGAGGAGATGATGCTTTCATTGGGATTCCATTTTTCAACCTCCAGCACTTGGGTTTGGCTTGAATCACTGTAACTGTCTGCTGAAAAAAATGGACTCCAGACTTTACTCTTATCTGGATGATAGAGAGGGTTGAATTAGAATTGCATTGGGTTAGATTAGGGTTTCCAAAGGAGATTAGATAGACAGGTGCCCAATTTCCATGGAAATGACTTAAAATCCCAGCCGTAGCAGCTTCTTTATGGCATGGAGACCACAGAGCTATTTCTTGTAATGGATAATGGTGGTGTGAGGCACATATTGTAATTAGATTTTCATTGAGGAAACCATAGAACACTATAGGCTCCTGTTGTCGCTGCTACCAGATGTCTTTGCCACTGGCTTATGGCTCTCTCTGCTTTTCCATTTTGGGGCAGGACTCTTCGCCAAACCTATTCCTAGGAAATGGTCAAAGTAGACATTTATGTGGAATCATTTTAGGAGTGTACATGTTCATTGCTATGTTGTAGCAATTGTGTTCACGTGCTAGTTGGGCTACACCATCCTCCTAATTGAGGTTTGGGGTCTTTTCCTTTAGGCCATCTATTGCTTTCAGGGTCCCGGGGGAGGGTTGATTGTTTTCACAAACCGACTTGCTCATGAGTCTCTTCCATGGACTGGATTCTCATGACAGGTGCACAGAGTGCACTGCTAGCGTTCATGGTCCTGGATTGCTTGGCTTTGTTGTTTTCTATTGGTTTTAAATGATGCCTGGCTTTGCTACCAGCTGCATGCATGTATGATGCTTGTATGTATTCTTGCATGCATGATGCATGTGCTGATTCTTACTATGAGTGCTCTGTTCTTCTCTGGAAGAGCGATGCATGTGCGTGATTGCCTTCCTCTGTGCCAGGAGAGGGCACTGTAAGATTTCACCGCTGAAATAACTAGGTTGCTACATCCCTAAATCAGTTGCATATGAGCAGAACCCAGGGCTACTCTTATGCGTTAAGGAATAAAAAGATGAGATCACGGGGAGAAAAAGCTCCCATACCCATACTCACAGCTGCTTGCTTTGAGCACGGATTGATCTCGCTGGAGGGATCAGGGTCTGTCTCCTGGCTCTGTGTTGGTACGGTGCCTAGCAAAGCAGGTCCTAGCCCATCACTGCAGTTCTTCGTCACTACGGGGAAAAAAACAAGAAATACAATAACAAGTACCACTGGTTCTGTGCCTGAGCACCAAATCACTGAGTGCATCTAATCCCCAGAGAGAGACGAGATACTGGTTTCTGCCCCTTCGGGGCTGACAGTGCATTATGTCAAAACAGATTAGTTATAATCTATAGACCAGGGTTCTGTATTTAGAAGGTGCATTAAATCTTGAGGGATTAGATATAATCTGTGGAGGTGCAGGCCTACAACAACAGGGCTTTGTACATTGACTAGATTAGCTGGGGAAGTATGTTACTTTGCAGATTGAAAGGAACCTGTTAGAGGCCTTGGCATCTCATATACATCCTCCATTATCTAAAGACTGGAACAAGATTGGGCAGCCTTGTATAAAGACAGGCTTGCAAGGCCAGCTTCCACGTTTTTGTTGCTGTAAGCAGGAAAGCACCGACTTACATGGTTGACCACAGTGACGCAAAGAAATAAATGACACCCATTCCCATATGGAATAGCACTCATTGTCAAGAGTCAAAACCTAAGTGATGCAACATCCAAAAGGCCATCCTAGTTAAAGAGCCATTAAGTGTTTATCATTAATTTGTCACTGAGCTGGGGAAGAGGTCTTCGTGATCAACCCCTTTCATTAACATATGGACAATCAGATGGTAGGTAGATGCATGCCATTAATGAGCGTATATCTATGATTGCAAACCTGGGGAAGGGGGGCGAGGGGAATAATGGACCAGAGCTCTTGGGGGTACTGAACAGCTAACAAGAGCTCCGAGTTCCTGGGGTCTGACTGACCTACACCCATGCTCCCAAATGCGAGTGTTTTTGCATTTCCATTGCCCAATCTGAATGCTAGTTAAACTCATGTCTAGCTTTCTAATAAAGTGATTCCATTGAGAAGAGACGTGCGCACTGTCTATCCCAGGCACGGTCCAACAAACTCAGCTCCCTTTGTCCCAGTTTGGGAATAAAGGGCTTCCCTTCACAGGTAATAGAGGACGTGTTACACTTCCACACATCAGATCCAGAACCCCGTTCCTTTCCACTTTACTGCTAGGTGGCCAGCAGCAGTCTGTGTGGGACTTACGCCTCGTCTTTCTCACACACCCTCATTGCAAATCACCCTGTTCTGTTTACATTTACAGATTTTGTATCCGAAATGCTTTTAATCAGTGCTTCCAAATGTTTTGGGAATCACTGGGTTACTGCCAGTCCTGCACACGTCTCTGCCATTTGTCTTTTCCATCAGACTTTTTCAACTGCAAAAGCAGGTGCCTGGCAGGAGCTGCAGATCACTTCCCATGACTGTGTGGTCCCTCACCCCACCTGAAAACCACTGCTTCAGACAGACAGGGCTGCTCTGCCCCTCCTGATAAGGGTCTGGTCCATGCCCCGGCCTTTGCTGCACCACTGGGGTTGCTTACAGACGTTAACCTGGCCTTCCCGCCCTAAACAGCACATTGGCAGCTGGCCCTCATCACAGCTGGACAGCATGATGGCACCCAGAGCCAGGAACAAGCTGTGCAGAAGTGCCAGGCTGCACAGGGGTCTCTGTTCACTGTGCAGAGGATGAAAGAGGGATGATATAACAGGTCCTGGCCAGTGAGTGACATCTGCCATAGATCCAGATCCTCCAGGACCAGGGGGCTGTACCCCATGGCTCATGGGCTTCCCTGCCAGTACTGATGTCTGCCTAGACGGGAGTCTGCATGGGAGCAGAGATTCCCTTTGTTGCCTTCTCAGGGCAAAAGCCACATTTTGCAGCAGGCTGTGCTCTCTGGGCTTGTCCTCAGGGCTGGTGTGCTTCTGGCTGCTCAGGCTTGAGATCCAGCTTTATGCAGAGATGGAGGAACCTGGGTTTGTGGGCAGGAGGGATGCTGACAGCAGGGCTCCCTGCGCCATCTGCCGGCGCAACTGTGCAGCACGCACATGAGCTGGGCTGGGAGAGAGCCCTCCGCATCACCTTGCCCTGCTACCGCAAGGAGCACTAAGCCAGCGGTGGGAAGGCAGGGCAGAGAAGCCTGCAGGTTCACATGGTAAGAGGGCAGGCCAGGCCCATTCCCACTGCTGAGACCCAGAGCCCCAGTAGGCAGAAATCTGCCGGAAACCGGGTGGTGATGCTGGCATCAGGCAATTACAATCACTTCTCCAGGAGAAATGGGGGACGGGAGGCAGCTGGCCAGCGTAACAGCCCAAGACATGGGTGACACCGGCCTCTCTGACCTCTCTTGAATGCGGTGGAGTTGTTCCTGCCCCTGTGCAAGCAGCAGCTGCCATCTCGCTTGCTCCCAAGGGCAGCATGTTTCAGGCTCCGATCAACCCAGGCAGTGTTGCTGGTTTGGCTTGTGTGCACATCCTGCTCCCTGATCCTGCTGGCAACCGATGCTCAGCTCTCACCAAGGTCCCCTTCTAGTGGATCTGCCTTTTGTAACACATTTGTGGGATGGATGGATGGATGGTCGTCCATGCTCCTGCTCAGGGCCCAGGAAGAGAGAGCAAGTGGGAAAGCCTGGCCATCATTTAGAGGGTCTCGTGCAGCTTTAGGATTCTCCGTCACTTCCAGTACAACCAGGCAGAGGTGGATGCTGGTCCCCAGTTTCTGCAAACTCCAGGTACTCCCAGTGGGTCATGGAGGAAATGTGCTGACCCATCGCTTACCCCAAACGTTGCAATTAATGGAGCGACACACACTCTTGATCAAAAGCTTTTTATTTTCCCTCTGAATAAAATTTATAATATCCCTCCCTGCGCGCGATACAAAATATTGACTCCGCTAAATAAATAAGACATGAATGTATTGCAGACAGCATATCGCCCTGAAGGAAAAACAGAACAGGACATCCTTCCCCACATCCAGAGATTCGCACAACGGGAACTGGGAAGGACAGACACTTCCCCTCCCTTCCCACTGGGTCCAATAGCATTCCCTTTAAAGCCCGCATTTGGGAGGCTGAGAAGGGAGAGGGAGACCACAATATCCACTAGGGAGTGTCCAGAAATGGACCTGTCACCTGAGAACAGAGGAGGTTGCATGAACACCTGCCCCTTTCCTTGAAGGAGTTTGCTCCAGTGGACGTAGGTCATACAGCAGAATCCATGTCCTCCAGCGCTGCTTCTATGTACATGTAAGTTATAAGAGCAACAGGACATGGCAGAGGCTGCACTTGTGCTTACTAGGACACACTGAGGTCCCTCGCTCATCTGTGCCACGTCCCAGCCATAGGCAACTGTTCTGTACTGAGCCATGCTGGCTTTTCCCAAGACATTTTGGGGTACCCAAAGCATGTACCTGATTGACCCCAGGATGGCTGTGAGCAAAAAAGGGCCTTTGCTAATTATGGACCACAAGGGATAGAGTTAGGAAAAGCAACCGAACCGCTGCAGCTATGAAGCAGCCTGGAGCAGGGCTTACGAAGCCTTTAGCGTTCCAGCTGCTGCTACTTTCTTGTCTGAACCACCAGCTGTTTTCTTTACCTGAACAACCTCTTCCTATAGCTTCCTCTGATCTTTCTCACGCCGTCTCTCAGTCTGGCGCCCAGCAGCTCCGTTCACTCCCACACGATCATCAGCTTATTCACAAAAACAGCCCCATAGTCTAGGCGGCTCTGAGGAGGGGCTCCCTGGCTGAGCCCAGAGCAGGATATAGGGAGGGGATATAGCACTAGCCCTGGGTGAAGTGCCGGGGTGCACAGACACGTTCACCCAGCTCAGCTCTCCTTTCACAAGTAAACACGGCCACCCCCCCCCGACATCGTGTCTTGGCTACACGGGAACTGGCAATGCCCGTTCTGCAAACAGGACCTGCCCCTCCTGGGACTGGCCAGATCTGGCCATGCTACTGCAGACAAAGGCTGGGCTTGTCAGCTGGAGCCGGGCCCCCGCTGCCTTTGGAAAATGCCTGTCTATGCTACACTGGGAGAGAGAAGATAGCGGATTCACAGGTTCCAGATGTTCAGGGCTGGAAGGGACCTCGTGAGATCATCGGGGCCAGCCCCCCGGCTCTGGGCAGGAAAGACTGCCGGGGTCACATAACACAGGGCCAGGACCCAGGCACACTGGAAACAGGGCTTCATCTCTCCTCCACCTGTCTCTCAGACAGTCGGATGAGCCAGAGCACTCGGGGACCATCAACCTTAAGTGAAACACTTGCTTGGGCATTTAAATAAACCCACCATCTCTGAAAGGGGCTCAGTGCTTCTGGAAAACAAGCAAGCAAATGGCCACTTCCCTACCTACACCCAAGCATGGACTCAGTTTCTTGCTCAATGCTCATTACACGTCAGTGCGTTCGTCTGGACGCCGTGAACTCTGAGCTGAGGCAATTCCTTTTTTGTCTCCTTAAGATTTCTCCTGCGGCTCTACGTCGATGGGGTCTCCTATACTTCCTGCCTTCATTTGTTCTGTGAGCGAGCAAGCAAGCAACTCCCCCTTTTCACATCTGCATTGCAGTGTGTTAACCTGGCCGTGGTGAAGTGTCGCTGGGATTATCATTTGGAAAGTTTTTTAAAGCCCCTTCATGCTCAAAGCAAATTAAAAAAAAAAAAAAAAAAAGAGAGAGAGAGACGGAGAAAGAGCAGCTAGTTTGGGCAGTGTCTGCGGGCAGCAGGGGAGCCGGCTTCAGCTCTGGCGCCGAAAGCACCGTGTGACACAGCCTTGCCAAAACAGGAACACCTTGTCCTTCAGCAGAGCCTTCCACCCTAGGGCTCTGCCGTTCCCACGCCTCCGTCACACTGAAGGCACTTTGTCTCGCCCGGCCTGGGCAAGGCCTTGTCTTTTTTCACGGGTTGCTTTTGCTGGCTCGCAGCTCAGGCAACGAGGCACTGGGTTGCTCAGCCTGACCTTGGTTTCTGCCCACGCTGCAGGCACAGCTCGGGTTGCCGGGAGGGCCAAGGCCTGGGCTGTGGGCCACGCTCTTCACTCCCGCAGAGGCTCCTGTCCGTGCTGCAGCCGCACAGACTGCCCGTTGCACTGCTGAGAGCTCCCCTATTGCGTGCAAATCCTCAACCAAGGCAGAGAGGTGATAGCCGACATTACCTGTGCTCTGATCCCCGCCAGACAAGCAGCACACAGTACCGCACCCTTTCTTCTGCCACTGGCGACCACTCTGGCTTGCAAGCTCCTGCTCTAAGCTACCCAGACACCACGCTCCCCAGCACTGCAGGTGAATTCGAGCCTGCCAGCTGAGTTGATGCTCTGTGCTCTTGAGCCTGGGGGGTGGAAAAACTGCTGCAAACAGGGGTGGACCTGGCTCTGAGGCAGGACGCACTGGAACGGAAAGCTACATTTAAGGACCAAAGCCTCTGGTACCCCCAAAGAGAGAGGGTGGAAAGGGGGAGTCAGACAACCCGAGGTGCAAACCTGTGGGCACAAATGAGCACTGAGAGCCTCTTCCCTGCTTCTTGTGACTGAGGTAGCTCATGTACTGACCTTTAAAGTCCTATGGGTCATCCCAGCTCAGATGCACAAGTCTGATCAGTTTGTCCAGCACTGGCAGCAATGGGCTGTCCTGTTTCACAGCGGCACTGACAGCCAAGGAAATACAGGGGGGACAGACTGGGTTTTAAATGAAGAGAGAGGGGAAAGTTCAAGGCGGGCTTGTTAAAAAATAATGAGAGCAAGGCATCCTTCCCATGCAGCGGGACAGGGCACGGACAGGAAAGACACCTCGGAGCATTCGGTGGTGGGGTGGTCTGAAATGGGTAGAGACGGTGTCTAAGGATGGGGGATTTTTCCTTGAACTGCTCTCCCCAAAAGGCAGAGGTGGATAAAAGAAAAACGCAAGTGGAGGAAGCCACATATTCACACGCCCCTTTGCTCACTAGCCAAGTCTCTCACCTGGACCTCCTCTGTTCAAGCAAACTCTCTCCTTCCTTCCTTCCTTCCTCCCTCCCTCCCTCCCTCCCTCAAGAGGTCACAAAGAGGCTTCCTCACAGTCAATACCACCTCATCTGCAACTCAGTAATTGCAAAGACCGGTTACTCTAATGCATGATTAAATATGCATGAACTAGCAGATTCTATTTAAAACAACATACCAGTTGGAGGCAGGGGAGAGCCACGTCTACTCGCGCTTGAAAGGCTGGATGTGGGGTTTTGGTGGAGGAGGATGGAGGGGACTTAGAGGGGCACATTCCAGCAATTCGCCCCGCCTCACAAGTCCCCTACTGCACGGATGCCACCAGAAGATAATCACTTTTGGGGCCGAGGACACGAATATCTATTGAGCGAGCAGGAGGGTCTCCCTGAGCCCAGGGAGCTGGTACACACATGCGGAGCAGTCAATTCTAGAGAAGTCTCTGGGAGGCAAATTCAGCCCCCAGTTGTATCATCAGGAGGCTGTACCTGAGGGCAGGATAATGGAGGAGCTTTGCATTGGCTTGGGGCAGACTGAGTAGGTGGGAACCCGGCTTTCATACGCTTCCTATAGGAGTCAGGTCCATGGGTGTTATCATGGCTCCAGGAAATCTCCCCCACTGGGTTGTTGTGGGGCAACACGAGACGGAGGAAGCTGCAATTGCATCAGCAGTCGCAGAAAACAAGGTGGGAAAGGGTCCTTCAGAGCTCATCTAGTCCAACCCCCTGCCCCGGCGGGGGGACTAAGCCATACCTGAACCATCCCTGCCCAATACAGATCTCACCTGCCCTAAAGACTACGGGCAATGGCGGTTCCCCAGCCTCCGCTTCTCATCAGTTCCCGTGCTTGCAGTGAGAAAGCTGTCAGATTTTAACCTCTAGGCTCCATGCAGGGCAGGGGTAGCAGGAAGGGGCACCACATAAACACACGGCAAGCATGGGGGTCAGGGGCTAAGTGCTTCCAGCATCTGGGGAGCTCGGAGGACACCAGGACCCTCACATCCTGCCATGGATTATTGCACTTAACTGTAGGTTAATGGTCAGGCTAATGAGGTCTGACCCATGCTATAAAATACTGAGCAGGGGGCCTTGTGAACACAGCCTGTTTGCTGCCTCTGGCCAAGCCCTTTTATAAAGGCGCTGCAGATCGGTGCCAGGCACTTTGGGTGCAGAAAGCAAAGAGCCCATTCAGAAGGGAGGCCTGGCTGTGCATCACTCCAGTGCTTGTAAGAGCAAAGGGATTAACAGAGGCGGCGAGGCGCGCACAGCCCCCACCGCAGCTCTGCTGGTCTCTGCCAGCGCCCTCACGCCAGCCAGCAGCCCCTCCGGGCAGCTCAGCCAACGCGGCAGAAACCTGAGCTCACTCGGGCATGGGGCTTCCCTGCTACCTCTGCCAGCACACCCCATGCCAGGCCTCCTCTCCCCGAATATCCCAGTTCACACCAGCTAGAGGTGGGAATTTGGTTCAAAGCCAAGATAAGAACCTCCCCACCTCGAGCAAGGCAGGGTTTCAGCTCCCCTCTTTGCAAAAGGAGTTCCCCCACACACATGCACACACAATGTCACTGCCCCTCCCTGCTGCTGAAGGCAAACACTCTTCTTTCCCCTTTGACCTCAGCAATCCTCTTTGGTGCTCCCTGTGCAGTGCTAGCCTTTGATAAAGGCACCATGCAGAAAGCACTGATGGTTGCAATGTCCTTCTTTATACACCTGAGATGAGCCCTGCATCCTCTCCGTTTCCACGTGCCCCCGGGGCAGCACAGTCAGGCTCCCACAGATAGCACTAGAGATAGGGAGAAGGCACGAAACGTGGGGATTCCCGTAACATACAGCATAAGTGTGCACGTGCATCCGCCAGCCCCGCGCCCACCTGCGTGCAAAAAGTCCTCGCTACGCGGAATACTTGGCCATATCGCTCTTATCGAAGACAACTTTGGTTGCAAAGTAAATGGCCACGAGGCCGAAGCCGGCGGCTGACACCATGTAGGCAGTCACTGACTGTGTAAACTGGACGACAGACCCCAGGATGAGGGATGGAACAACCTGAGAGAGGAGGAAAGCACTGTCCAGAATAGCCAGGTCCAGGCAGATCCCTCGGCCGGGTGCTGCGGAGTCCGGGTCTCCCACCATCATCATGAGCGAGACCTCGCAGGGGGAGCTGACGCACAGGGCTGAGCTGGGAGCCGGCGGGGAGGAGAAGAGGCCCCCGGCGTGGCCATTCTGGTAGGGCAGCTTCTGGCTGGAGAGAGGCCCTTTGGGGAAGCCCGTTTTCATGTCCAGCTGAGCAGCGTCCTCTTCCTCTTTGCTTTTGTACTTATGCAAAAATACCTGAGGTTAAAAAAAATGGAGACAGAGGGAAGGTGAGAAACCCCAAAGAGCAGGAAAGGCCTGGCGAGCCAGAGAACGAGGCAGGCTGGCCCGTCCCAGCACTTGCACAAGGCACTGGGAGGCCTGGTCAGACCCCACCTTGCTCCAAGCTGTGCCAGCTTCATGCATCTCGGGTCAGGCTCGGCTAAAAGGGGATGCCATCTGCAGAAAGCCCCAGCCACAGCAGCAGCTCCCCGAGGCAGGCCTGGCTGGCAGGGCCGTCCCTGTCTGGTCTCAGGTTCAAAGTGACCCTGAGCTGCTGCAGTAATCTGTCTGTTCAGCGTGATGTGTGACCGCTACAGGGAAGCATATCAGCCCCATGTTCTGCAGCGCGGGCGTCTTGCTCCGAGCCCCGACCGATCACAAGACTGTGAGAGAATCGGGTTGTGCAGAACAAACCAGATGGGTAGTGTGGGCACAGCAGCTCCCTGGACCTCACTGACATGGCTCCCAACTCACCCTGGAGTAGAGAGGAGACCCAGGCACCTTGACCTCTCCTCCCTGCAAATGCTTACTTTCATACAGCTCTGTTAGCAGCAGCCCCATGAGTTTGGCAGACACATGTCTGCAGAAAGAAAAGCAGATGACACTGCCTCCCAGGGCTACAGGAGTCCTATTTATGAAGGGCTTTTGGGAGGAGAAGCTAGGGGAAGGGAGAGAACAGTTCCAGTGTTAATGAAGCAGTGACTCAAAGCCTTTCTGCTGCACGCCCTAGAGAGCACCTGAACTGCTCAGGCATGGCTCACACCGGCTCCAGATCAGGTGACGGGGGGTGGGTTTTGGTGCCATTGTTCTGCAAAAGCAGAGAGTCTAATTTATGCTCCTCAGCTAGGAATGCAGCCAGGCAGACGAGACAACTGTGGCCCCGAGCTTGCATCACTGCAAATCCATAGCAAGTAGGTGCCTCGCTGAAGTTACCAGCTTTTGAAGCAACACCCCGAGAGTGAGCCTGCTTCCAGCGCACTCACTGCCTTAATCCAGGTTAACTCTCAACTGCAGACAAGTCCACGCAGTTCCCAGGACAAGTCTGTAACACCGCCAGCTGCCATCTGTAATGCTGCTCTGGACAGTCTAGAGCTGCGCAGGGGCCCTATGGAGCCGGGCAACTTCCTGCAACAGGTACCCATGGGTCCCTCACTGCAGAGCCCCTGCAGCTGGTTAGTTAAGCTGCTAGGGAGAACAGGGTAAGGAGCTCCAGTGCAAAGGGGTCAGGCCCTGGAGAAGCCAAGCAGCATCTTCAGGACCAGCTCCCTGGGCTTTTGAAGTGACAAGCAATTAGGCTAGGGCACTGGATTGGCACTCAGGGGACACGGGTCCTTCCCAGCTCTGCCAGATATTCCCTGTGTGATAATGGACGGGCCATTCCCTCCAGGTCTCAGCTGTCTGTCTGTAAAATGGGGAAAATAGTCCTTCCTTTCCTCCCACCCTTTGTCTGCAGTGTCTCCTGTAAGATCTGTGGGGCAAGAACAGCCCCTTACTGTGCGTATACAGAGCAACTAACACAATGCCCTAATCTCAGCTGAAGCCCTCTATAAACTACTTCACTGCCAATAACAGTCACATGCAACAAAAGAAATTGCTGGGAAAGCCCTGCTTGCCCGAGAAAGCCAAGCCATTTTACATTGGACATATCTGGTGGTGGGCATGGCAGGGAACCAAGAACATGCTAACCCATTTTCCACACGACGGGCCAAAACAAGCCAGGAGAAAGAAAGCACCTGGTTGAGAGAGGGAAACAAAAATGGTTCTGGGAGCGCAGGGCTCAGATTTGATTGCTTGAAATACCCAGCAATTCTCCTCTTCCATACACAACAGAAAGGGATACAGGGAATGACTGCAGAACTACCATGCCAGGATGTACAGGCAGCCCTGCCAAGCTCGGTACCACCACGGAGCTATTGGCAGTTGTCTGGACCTCACCTGGCTATTTGTGAACACCCCCAGTGGTGCATTGTTCACTAGCTACACTCCATTAACGTGGCCCGAGGCCATGGCTGGACCTCTGCAATGCGGTTGTTTCAGATCCACGCGCAGATTCAAGCGGTTGAGAGCCTTGAAAACTAAGCTCTGGCATGTCTGTCAGAGCTCCAGACCCCTCACACTCAGCGGAGAGTGATCCAAGAAGCCTGCTCCGCTCCTTCAAAGGCACAGGCCTTCTTCTTGCTCTGGCTGTGCCTGGATTAGGGTGTAAAAGGTGCACCTGTTCTAACACACACACCTGTGAGAAGTCTGGTGCAGACAAGGCAATGGTTTCTTCAACATCAGAAGTCTTGAGGTTGGACCAAGCCTGCTCAGCGCACCTTAAATGTGACATGCCTTGTGTACACTGGATGTTCAGGTGTATTTGTCAGACTACGCGCATCTTTCCTCCTACTCTTTGCAGGGCTTCTCCGCTCCTATTAACGCAGCGACAATTGAGGGCATGCATGAGAAGAGACTGACTTACGCAGTCTGTGTGGGAGAAGCTGCCGCTGGGGTTAGTCTTGCAGGCTTTCGCTAAGGAGTCCACACAACGCTGGAGTGGCAGCTGTCTGGGACCCCCTCTTGGTGACTCCCTTCAGGAGAAGCACAGAGGCAGGAAGGAAGGGGGACAAGAAGCAGGAACAGAAGGAGGACAGAGGGTGAGAAGCAACGGTAGAATTAAAACAGTCAAAAAAAGGACAGGGGAAACGGGTATGAAAGAGGTAGATAACAGTTTGTGGAAGTTTTGGAGGAGGTGGGGTCTTCACCTGGGGGCCTGTTGCAGACCACAAACAAGTAGTGGGAGTAGGGAGGTGCAATGTCAGGACTAACTCTACCAGTAGGTTCATTAATTCTGGTGCCCACGTCCTTGGCATGATGGTGTTTTCTCAGCAGCATTTTGGGAACGTTGTTGGCCACCCTGCAGAACCCCCGGAAGCTGGCCAAGGGAATGCCCGCAGGGGATCTCAAGACCAGGCTTTTAGTTCATCTAAGAGGAGCTGGCCTGGCTGCCCTCCAAACCCTTCTCTAGTGCGCCAGGAAGTTCAGTGCATATTGGAAGGAGGCGCTTGGAAGCATTTGCTCTACGTGACCATCTGGGGGTCTGTGGTCAAAGCTCCCAGTTCTTTTAACCCCGTAGCAAGCTGCCTGCCACTGGGGGGAAAAGGGGGTCTCTAAAGCCACAAAAATGTTTCGTTTCAAATGCATGAGACGCTCCCGCCGGCATTAGCAGCCTTGTATGAATAAGGTGCAAGGGGGCAGAGCCTGTGATTTCAATCACTGATTTCAAGTACAGCCTGTTTTTGCTTAAAGCCCCAGCTCTGGGGCAGATGTGGGCCTCAGCTCTCCTTTTAGGTCACAGGGGTGCAGGCACAAGCCTGCAGGCAGCAATAGGGGCAGGGCAAATAAAGAAGCTGATGTTCATAATCAATGGCCGTCTCCCGAGTATTCAGGACACGATTCATGATTTGGGCAATGTCACAATGGGAACTTGGGTGCAGACAAAGCACTGGGAAGCTCTAGGGAACATGGTTCAATTTCCACTGAAGCATCAAAATGTAGTGGGGACAGGGCACGTCCTACAGAAACCTGCAGGTCCTTCACTCCCACGCAGCGCTGCATGGATGCTGGGCGGCTGGTTGTGGAGGAAAGGAAGGGCTGGAAACACGACTTTTGGCTTTACAAACTCAACCAAATGGGGCCCAATTTCACTAACCCCACCAAAATCGGCAGGGTCCAGGTGGGTGGCCCCTGAAGGACCTTCTCCCTAGTTGCAAGGCCTAAATGGAAACACTGGGGCTGGGTGCGCCTCATTCCAGCTTCGGGCTGAGTTGAGCCGAGCTGCAGCTCCTGTGGGTGGCTTCCAGCAGGCAGACCGCCCAGCCTGGCATCTCGGCTATATGCCACCCCCCTGCCTCCGGCAACAGTGCCCACCTGCTTGTCGTGATGGTACAGCGCAGCCAGCGTGTACGGCAGGATCTGGAGCGCGGAGAAGGTGAAGCCCGTCAAGGCGGCCGAGAGGGTGACGATGAGGACACTGCGGGAAAGGCACACGACGAAGGCAGCCAGGGGGAAGAAGGTCACGCTGGCCAGATAGACCGCCCGCGTCCCAAACTGCTTCACCATGCGGTCCATGATTGTCGAGAAGAAGGTGGAGGTGACGCACTGCAGGAACAGGCCCAGGCTGCCCATGCGCACACCTGGGAACAGACATGTGGGGAGGGTGGTGGAGATGCACAGCACAGCGTACCCTCCCTGAGCCTGCCTGGCTTGCAGAAAGCCAAATGGCTCCGGGGCTCCCTTCCTTCCCCCCAGTGCCCCAATTCTGGAGGGCAATGGCAGGCTGAGGGCCCTTCTGCATTGCTGCATAGAGGCTTGCCCATGCCAGCACAAGATCATGACAACCCAGGGACCAGAGTGCAGGCTTCCAGAGCCCATTCAGCCCTCAGGCTCTCTGCTGAGGTTGCTGGTGAAGGACCCCCTGCTAATACCACTGAGACCGAACCTGCTCGCGGGGGAAAGGGAGCATTTCCCAACAGAGAAGCAGCTGCTGGGCACCCACAGGCCCCAATGAAAGGCAATGCAAGCTGGGTGCATAATTCCCATCCCTGCCTTTGAGAAGCTCCCCTGAAAATCCCTCCTTGGAACCCCTCCATGGCCTGTGCATGAACCAGGATGTGGCATCAGATCCAAAAGCAGCAACAAAACCCAAGGAACAAAGAGTGGGTTTAAGCTGGTGAGAAAACCCAGGTGCTGGCACAGGGTGAGACATCCGCTTGCCTCTCTGCACGTCCAGCCTGGACCTTTCTCTTGGCAGAGGCGTGTGGGATTACAGGTACCTCCACCATTAACTCTTTGGAGCAGGGACTCTCACTGACAGCCTGTCTGCCCTGGGTGAAGCACAGCGGGGCCCAGAAACAGCTATTGCAGCATCAGCATTAAATCAGAATTAAGCTCCGAGCTGAACAGACATTCATACGGGACAGAGAGACAGCGAACTGTCAAGTCTGGGGAGACAACAAATGGAAAGCCGAAAGGCAAGATACACAACCGAAGCCTGGTGGAGGATGAGGGGGACGAGGGGAGAAATATATTTAGAGGGCCAAAAAGGCGAGGCTGGAGAGCTGAGGACATGTGCCCAGGGGGAGCGCGGTGTGTGGGCAGTGCAACGAGGGTGCCCAGCCAGGGGGACATCCTTAGTGCAGCCTGGCTCCCTACAGTCCTGCTTGCCCTCGGCTCTGCAAGTGGTGAGCCAACATTTGCCACCAGCGGTTTACAGAAAGGGAAAGTGAGACGAAGCAGCGGTGGAGGGAACTGCAGAGATGCAGCATGCTATCTGCTGGACCGCTTTGCCTCTCCAGAAACCAGGCACCAGTCAGCGTCCCCTTCCATGTGGCTCTGCTGCTCAGGTCAACAGTGCAGAGGAGGACAACCCTGCCATAACGTTCCCTGCCTGGGGAGTTCCTGGCTCCATGTTATCTCTGCAGGATGCTGAAGCCAGCAGCCCTCTTGCCCTTTTTATCTGTGTTTGCAAAGCTAACAGTGTTTTCAGGGATTCACTGCAGTTCCCACGGCCGGAGGGGGAGGGACCCTCCTCTGCACGTTGCTCTGAACGTGCTGTCCCTTAGCCCCACTTCCCGGGAGTTTGCACAAGGTCAGCAGACTGATCTTTGCTGAACTTCAGAAATACTCCTGACTATCCCCTCAGTGCTCAGGCACTAAACAAAGGCCATCATGGTTTGGATGTGGCTGTAGCTCCCCTCCACAGAGGGATGTGGGGTGCTGCAATGGAGGGTTTTTTCATAGAGAAACTCCAGTTCATCCTACTGGTGCCTGGGAGCTGGAGAGGGACACGCAAGAAGGTTGGTTTGGTCTTGCAAGCCCGAAGGAGAATGAACTTGGCTCTCAGCTCTGCTCACCACCTCTGCGTAGCAATTTCAACAGGTATGAAATGAGAGAGCCATCTACCCAGCTCTGAGATCTGGGATGCTATGAAGAGTTAATTAGACCTGCCTCTCAAGTGGGGAGGCTTGCATAGGTGATTTTGGTCTGGGAGACTCCCACGCCAATTAGAGACCCCTGGGAACAGACCGCTGACCATGGAGCCCCTCTCCAACCCCGTCTAAATGGCTCCGCTCTCCCACCCTCGACCACGAGGGCAGCTGGCTCATTTCCTACCTTCGTCATAGTGACGTCTGGCTTCCGTGCCTGGCTTGGCCCTGGGAACCCCCTGGTACAGCCTTTCCCCAACGAAGTCCGTGTAAAACAATGTGAACGTCATGAAGGCCATCCAGCTGCACAGCTCGGCCACAAAGAGCTGCTGGACCACCTTGGGGATGCGGCAGCAGAGGCCGTGCAGCCGCGGGACCAAGGTGCAGAGGTTCCTCACGGCTTGCACCATGTGGCTCGCTTGCAGGAGGCTCTTGGAGACTCGGCAAGAGCAGCAGCTGGGAGACGAGGGCCTGGGGGAAGAGTCCTTCAGTGCGGGACCCATCAGAGTGTCCGTCCGTGCTGCGGCCTCCTCGGTCACAAAGAGGGTGGCCAGGACGCAACCGAGGAAGATGATGGCAAGGAGGCTAAAGAGGCACTTCTCCTGTCCCCCCAAGTAAGGGGCCAGGAAGCTACCGTCCCAGTCAATGGCTGGAAGGAGGTAGCCGATGCAGCCGCCCAGGCTGACCATGAAGGCATACATGGAGAAGGCCTGCCGGCAATTGTCAGGCTCCTGGAAGAGGTCCGAGAGCAAGGCCTCCAAGGGAGTGAAGCAGACCTGGCCGCAGAAGTCCAGCAAGCCAATGCCTAGGATGAGGAAGGCGATTTCCAGGGGGCGGGCATCGAGGGCAAAGAGGCCTGCCAGGTGGTTGGCATGGGGGATGGTGAAGAGGCTCAGCAAGACCCCCAGGCACAGGACCCAGATGAAAGGTCGCCGTCGGCCATAGCTGCTCTGCCAGTGGTCACTGGCGGATCCGATCAGCGGGACGAAGACCAGGCCGAGGACAGGCCCTATCCCTGGAACGGAGACAGGCATGGTGTTACAGAGGAGCATGTGGGCATGGGATCAGCACTGCTTTAAGAGCCCGGGTGAGAGGCAGGGTCAAAGTTTTCACAAGTGACTAGCAACTATGGGAGCCTGAGTGTTAAGGGACACCTTAAAAGATGCCCCCAATTGCCAGGAGAGGCTGAGCGCTCGTTTTCTGAAAACGGGGTCCCTTCAAAGGGTCTCAGGTTGGGAGCCTGCCATCATTAGTCACTTGTGAAGGAGCAAACCTCTGCTTCCCGATCTGCCCCCGCCCTCAGAAACTGCAGGAAGGGTGAGAGTAAGAAGCCACCTACCCAAAACCATGGTCATGAACTTCTCCTCCACACCCACTTCCAGCAAGAGTGGGGGCACATAGGTGATCCCGGCAGCCAGGCAGACCTCCAGCCCGAACGTCAGGGAGTTGACTAGCAAGAGCTGAGCCCTGCGGCTGTGGAAGAGCATGCTGACCCACGCTTTCTGAGCCATGCTGGCCCCCGTGCTCCTTAGTTTTAGACGGCTAAGTCAAGAGGACAGCAGCGTTGCAGCCGGCATTCCCCACAGCCAGACCCTAAGGTCTGGGGTCTCCCTTCCAGGTCCAGTGGAGAGACGCTGGCTGCCATTTCTGTCGGCAGCAATCAAGCCGTCTCTTCTTCTGCCTTCTGTTGCAAGATGCGGTCACTGCAGTGCAGAGTCCAGGCTCGGGTGGGCCAGCTTCAGACTCCAGGTCTCTCCCTCTGCTTTACACCCTGCACTGTGGGGAAGGGAGAGAGCTCATTGGAAAGGACAGCCATCCACACATCACCTATGCGAGTTCTTCCTAAGGGGTCCAAAGCCACAGAGTGAGTTCCTCGCACCCCTGAAGCACCGCAAGGAAAGGAAAAACCTAGTGCACAGGGATATCCCCAGTGTACAGGTTACGTGGACTGGCCTTTGCTGGCAGCATCACTACTCCAAGGTCACGGGGCCAGGTTCACAGAGCTGCCAACCCCTGGAAGGCTCTCCCCCTTCACCGCCGCTCACTCCCCCTGTTCCTCTCTCCATGGTTTGCCTGGTAGCGGCAGGCACTGCTGTGCAAACACAGCACAATCCCTGCCCCAAAGAGCTTACATCTGAACTCATTTCTTTAGGCCCCAGTCACAGCATTAGCCACCAAGCCCTTTCTTTCCCACGCTTGGGCGGTGTAGCCTCCGTTTTCACCCACATCATTTCCCCACCTCTCTCGAGCAGTAGGTGCAGCTCAGCAGCTCCGATGAAGCCTCCTTTGTTTCACAGACAAACCTGACCCAGTTTAACCTCCTCTGCCAGTGCGTGGCAATCACCTTAATCATGAGTACGACATCTGAGCTGACATCGCCCGCTGAGCCGCCTGTTTTCTGTGTCCCCTCTCACGTGCCAGAGTGATCGCAATGGAGATGGGCACTTTAACACCCCGGGAAGGTCTCATGGCAAATTTGCTAACTAGGTGCCTATGCGACCCCTACCAGGGTGGCATAAGGTCTGCTGAATATTTCCTCGGGCATCACAGCACTCAGGGGGATGTGGGTATAAATAGCTCCCCAGGTCATAGAAGGCGTACACGATTAAGTAGCCTACCCAAGCAACACCCCAGGGAGTCTACAACAGAGCTGGGCATCACCCCAGGTGTCCCCAGGAGACAAAGGAGTGTTGAAAAGACCCAGGGAAGAATTACCCCTGGAAGAAGCAGAGGTAAACTCCACGGCTGTAAGCTCCACTGCTTTAGGTGTCATCTGCCCACACCAGTGCCGGGGTAACTGTTTGCAGGCTATTACCTGCTCCCTTACCACCTAGCATGAGACACAGTAATAGCCTCTGACTCCAGGACAGCTTCACATCTGCCCTTTCCAGATCGTGGTGTCATTTATAGCAGTTGAGGCTTCCTCTATTTCAGAGGTGTCAGAGAGATGGCCCACTGGCCAGCTCTCACCCACGGAGCCCTATAATCCGGCCTGCAGCCCCGGCAGCCTGCAGAGCAACCAGGGAAGAGGCTTGTCTTTCACCCCTCCTCGCTTTCTGGGTTCTCTCCATTAAGTCTCATTTGCCAAAGAGGGAATGGAGTCCAGAAGTGTCTCCGAGGTCAATGCTTGTCCTGAATTCAGCTTCCCAACAAAACAAGACCACGCCTGGCCCCTTCCAGGCCACATTCCTGGGTGGGAGGAAGAAGAAAAGCAGCTCATTCCAGGGCTGTGCCGGGCAGCTGCACCGTGTTTGCAAAGGATCACCCTGCAGTGGGGGGCATGGGTCAGGGTTCCTGCTGTAGCCCTGGGTAAAACCCTGTGCATGAAACTGCCCCATGGTGCTCTCCCTTCGCACATCCATTCGGACTATCCACCTGCAACTTCAGAGTCCCTGGGCAAGCGCTACGCAGTAGGCAGAGGGGGTTGAGAAGCCTTTTTGGATAACAGGGCCAGAAGAGCCACTGGCCCTGGGGATGCCCTGATAAAGCTTTACAGCTACGCAAACATCATTTCCAGCTTCTCCTTGCCACTGAAGGAGGAGCCTCTTCTCTCAAGCTAGGTACGGACATTCAAAAAGCCGGAGAGGGAATCAATCTAAGTAACACGGTTTTCTGTAAGCAGTATAGTTCAGATTGGTAAACAGACCACACATTCGCCCTTTAGAGAAGGGCTCAAGTCTTAGATCAGGTTCTGCCATGTTTAAACCGGTCTGTGTGCCGAACTTCTGTTCTGTTGCAGGTACAGACCAGTCTGTGTGCACCAAACCCCTGTTGTTATGGGTATAGACTGGTTTAGAGTCACTTATCCCAGTAAAAGTGTGATGTCTGTGCCTAGCCCCAGGGTTAAGAAGTTTGCGGGCTGTCATTTGCATCCTACTCATAATTAACACCAAGTGCTCTCTCCCCTCTCCCGGATCTCTCCTGACTCACTCTCCAGCCCCCACACCTCCCCAGGGTTTCATGAGTTTATGTTCTATCTTTATTTTTCATGAGCTTTCTTCGAAAATTATATAGGAGGATGACCCAGACTGCCCCAGGATGACAAAGAAATAGAAAGACCCCCACCGTGTGCTGAGAGCAGGTCGACTGCTCTGCTTTGGGGCGGGAAGTAAGGCACTGCACCTAGTAAGGGACACCCCTGGGTAGACCCCATGCTCATATGGCTCCCTTGAGTGCAGGGGGGATCCCACCCGTGGGTAAGGGTGCTCCCATCTACAGCCACCATAACCCAGGGCTTCAGTGCTTGCCTCCAACACCTCTGAACATCAGCCACTTTTCACAGCCAGATAAATGGAGACATACACAGAGAGGCTGTACATGACTGGCCTGAAGTCAAACAGCAAGTTAGCTGGGAATAAAATCCAAATGTCTTGCTCTAGCAACTAGACGCTTCCTAAAAGGGGAAAATCCAACAGCTCCTCCGGATGGGATATGCTGAACGCGTCGGAGACAAACAAGCAACCCTAATACCTGCGGCAGAAATATGACCCTCTCGGATATAAGGCCCCAGGCCAAGCTCTGCGCCTTTGCAACGGGCAGCATTGTGACCAAAGCCCTCCACGGTCAGCAGTAAGAGCCGGGCTCCTACGCTGCAAGTTGGGACAGGCTCTCTGCGACTGGACATGAATGGGGCTGTCCATAATAGACACAGTCCAGGAGGATGTGAGGTACACGCTGCAGACCCAAATGCACAGGTGCCTTATGGCACAGACTTTAAAAAAAAATAATAATAATAAAATAAAATAAAATAAAATAAAATAAAATAAAAAGTTCTCACTTTAAGAAAGCATCTCACTCTTGCCAACCTCCCACTCCATCCCATGGACTCAAGCAGAGGGTGGGGTGGTGACTCTGCCTGTCCTAGCACTTCAGGACAAGTCAGGGAGGTTTCATCTCTTGCAGCAGCAGAGAAGAGGTTTCCCTTCCCACCTCAGGCTCCCATTCAACTTGCTTAAGAAAATAAATCCCAGTGTATCCTTCAGCAAGAGCCAGCGCACGGCACAGATCGCAGACAGTGACCAGACTGCAGGCAAAGCTGTGAGAGAGAGCGAAGCCTTTGCTGTTTATAATGCACCTCGCTCAGGCATCCGTTAGCCTCCTCTGTTTATTAGCCTGCAGTGAAATACCTGTTCCTTTTGATCACAGAGGATCACATAAGACTTGCTTAACTGGAAAGGACTTGCCATGAAGCCTGGAAAAAAATAAAGCAGAATCAAAGCACTCAGCTGGCAAGGGGAAAAAAACCCAACCACTTTGGAAACCCTGCAAGAACCAGCCCTACCCCCACAAAAGGATGTGTGCAACAAAACTTGAGACTTACTTCTTCCAAGCAGAGAAACCAACAGGTGAACTCCCATCTTCCTACCCTGCAGCAGCCTGGTTCAACAAAGGCAGCCTGCCCCAGACAGAGCACACTGGCTGAATAGGTACTTAAGTAGGGTTTGCAGACAGGGAGAGGTGGGGCCAGGCGGTTGGCACACACACCGCATTTGGTTTCAGGGCCCTCCCTGCCTCTGATCTTACTCACAACACAGAAGAGCTATAGCATATTATTAGGATCACGGTGCCGGAGTCTTTGCATGTAGGCAGCGTACAACCATCCACCTATGGTGCTGATGTTGTGGAGGATACTGCTCTTCTGCATAAAGTTCTGCAGAGATGGACTCGGAAGCAAACCCCGCACCCATTCAGAAGGGGATCCCTGAAATTCATGTCCAAGCTGTGTGCCCAGGATCTGCTCCAGCAGTAATACTCAGCATCCCTCCTCCCTCCATCTCCAAACACTGTGGGCTAGCAAGAAAGGTTTGACCTTGCTCCTGTTTCACATCTGATGCTGACATGTCACGTCAGCTGGAGTGACAGCAACCCGGTACATCACAGGATCCCTGCGCCTTGCTACGAACGGCTCGCACGTGCCTGAAAGACGAGGACTGCAGTTGGCCCCTAATGCTGCAGCTCTTCCCTGCAAATGGATCCACGGTGTGGTTCTGCTCACAAGCAAGAGCTGGTAGGATGGGAGCGAAGGCAAGTGTCCTACCTTCCCGCACCTCTCTCTCACAGCTGAAAAGGAGCAACTTGTCCAGGCAGTGGAGACAGGTTTATTACACGGTATTATTTTTAAAACAATGAGATGCTCTCTTTAGTTTGCAGGTGCCAATTTGGCTTGAAATAACAGTCCCAGCTGTGAGACAGGCACTTATTTTAGCCGTCTAATCTCCACCGGGGCAGGGTAGCTGGCAGACCTTGAAGGGCTAAGTTCAACTCTGCTGCTTTTGAGAAAGATCCAGGCAGCGGTCCAAAGGAGCTACCACCACAGGGAGAGCCGGTGCCTAACAGACATGTTTGGAGGCTCATCATATCACAGTGATGCGGCGCACCAAATAACACCGCTTCTTTCCGGAGCCCTCGCTCTTGGCTGGCGGGGTGGCTGGTCCAGACAGGGTTGGAGACGAGGACCTAGGTCCCATTCTCTCCTCTGTGACCTTGGCAAGTCACTTCCACATCTGGGAAG